AAACCTCCAAGTTTTAAGTCAGGCAGGCTCTGTCCCATTCCATCTGAGGGAAAATTAAGGCACTGATGAGTTGCCAAAGGAGTGTTCTTCCTGAACACTCAAGTCCTCGAGTCCCTGGTTGAAATCCTATGAAAGCCAAATTCAAATGTTACCTTGGCATGGCCTCCTGATTTAATCTTCCCTTAAGTTAACTTGTGACGGAGAGATAGCCCAGTAGGCTGAGCTCATTGCATTCAAAAAGCCAAGGTTTTTGGGGCTGGAGCGATAGCACAGTGGGTAGGGCATTTGCCTTGCACGTGGCCGACCCAGGTTCAATTCCCAGATCCCATATTGTCTCTTGAGCACCAGCAGGAGTAATTCTTCCTAAGTGCAGAGCCACGAGTAGCCCCTGAGCTACTCGGTGTGACCTGGGTGTGACCCAAAAAGCAGGAAAAAAAAAAAGCAGCCAAGCTTTTATCTGGGACTGGTTCTGGTGTTACCGCCTAGTCCCTGAGCAACACATGGAGGGACCCCTAGCTGGGAATAGCACTGCTGGGTGAACCGTTCGAATTTTATTTTGTTTTTTATATTTCCCAAGTCTTTTTTTTGGGGGGGGGTGGCGGTGGGGGGGGGAGAGAATTTGGCCGCACCCACACCCAGTTGTACTCAGGCCACTCCTGTGTGAGCTCAGGTACCAGTCCTGTCATGGTTTAGGAGATGACCCTGAGCAAGGCTGTACTAGCTCTCCGGCCCAAGTAGGGTTTATTTTTTAAATTGTTACGGGGACCACGTCAGAAAGGCCCGGCAGTCTTTGGGGGGTGTGGGCGGGGACAGGAGTGGGTGAGTGCCGCAGGCGGCGATGCTGGGGACCAAACCCAGGCCCCTTTGAACTACCCAGCTCCCAAAGTAGTTCTTTTATCTGTGTGAGTCGGCCTGTCTCGGAGCCCTTTGGAGGTAGGGCTCTTATCTCCGTACTTATGCGACAGATGGTGGAATTCAGCATCATCGAAGCCCAAACCTTCAAATCCGAATGCATAAAGAAGCTAAAGAAGCTCATTTCGGAGACTGAGGTCCCATTCTCTCCCCGACTGCCCCGGCGGGTCTCCCCGCAGCATCGCTGATGAACTTAGGGGTCTCCCCTAGCACCAGGGAGGCGACCCGAGGCGACACACTCCATTTCCCGAAGTGAACTGCGCGCCAGCCCGGGGCCTGCTGGGGAATGGAGTCCCGGGGTGCAGAGCCGCCCCGCCCCGCCGCCGGACTTTCCACTCGGCACCGAGACTTTCTGCCACTTTCGTCTCCTCTCGTCGCTCTAGCTCTCGTGGCCTCACCACTTCCTCTCTCAGCTCTCCCTCCCTCGGCTCCCCGATTCTGATTCCTCGAGGGTCGCGGACAGGATCGGGCGTCCTGCGCGTGCCTCGGCTCCGGGCACCCTCCCACCCCCCGAAGTGAACTCGAGCTGGGTGTGCAAGTGACCTACCCTGCAGGCTCAGCCCCGGGCCTTGGCTGTGCTCGGACGCTGGCCCCGTCCCCCAGCTCACCCGCCGGCTACCTGACACCCGGGCCCAGCCTGCCCCGGCCCGGGCCGCTCCCTGCCCGGCCCCGGGGGTGGCTGGGACCCAGAAGCCCAGCGTCCAGCCCTTCTGACCCCGGCTCCCTTCGGGCACTCGTCCCGGCCCTTAAGCCCCTTACCCAGGCTGCCCTCCCTCGGGTTCATGCTGGCCCCTGGCTGATCCCGGTTGCCTCCACGCCCCCCTTCCGAGGGGGGAGTAGGGGCACAGGGGTAAGGGGCGTGGCCAGGGCGCAGCCAATCAGGGCTCAGACCCCAAACACTCTACCCCCCCCCCCACCCCTCCTCACCTCCCCCGGCAAGATTCCTTGGCTCTGAGCTCAGCTCCCGGCCAGCGCCGCCTGGTCCCGGAAGGGACCTGAGGAGGTCAGCAGGTTGTCTGCACCGTGGGTATCGGGGCCTGGGAGGCAGTTCTGCGGGGCTCAGGCTCGTACCTGGAGCCCGGAGTGGCGTCGTGGGGAGAAAGCTGGAAGGAGAGGGCGGGACTGGCACGATAGGATTATGCTGTGCCTCCTGTTTAGGAGTTGGGGGGTGGGGTGAGGGTAGGTGGATGCTAGAGAGGCCAAGATGGGGGTCCTCTGGCTTGAGGCATACCTACCTGCACTTACACCCCCGGCCTATTTTAGGTGTCTGGTGCTTTAGCTTCTGTCACATCCACTAGGACACCGGGAGTAAGACAAGGCCGCATACAAAGATCTGTTGAAAGGTTAATGCACATGGGTCCTCTTTCCCACCAGGGAAACAGCTTTAGAGACTTCCGGTCAGACCCACCGCTTTGCACCGCTCACCTGGTGTGGAGAAATACTGGAAGTCTGTGCACACAGCACCACAAATGATTTGCAAATGCCCTGAGCATCTAGGACTCCAGGATGGTCTATACTACAGAGCTCACAGTCTGATGGGGGAGGCTGTTTACAACAGCTGGCAAAGGGATTTGTGAGTGAGGAACTTGTAAGCTGTATGTGTGATGATGATATCATTAAGATAGGAAAATGGCCAGTGCACATGTGATGTATAGAGTTCTACACTTCATATAAGAAGTTAATCACTTTCTAGAAAAAGAATGTTCTGCTACACAGAGATCATCTCTTCTTTGAATTACACCTATTCTGTGTAAGTGCTACATCATGTTTTGTCAGTAAAGCTCATATGATATAGTGAAACACCCTAAAAAACGAGAATCATGAAAACTTGTGGAGCCGAGAGAATCCAGGGTGAAGGACCAGGTGATGGATAGACAATTTCCAGCTTATGACGAACCATTTGAATAATAAGATGACACCCACCTATGCCCTGGCAGTTAACAGTTGCTGTGAGAACTACTGCAAGTGACCAGGTCTGGTCAGAATCTGGGTGGTACTTTGCTCCAGAAAATCTCCACCCTACAATCCTCCTTAATAAATCATGAATTCCAAGCCCTGGTTTAATTTGCCCTATTCCATCACTATAACAACTCGAAATTTGTGTAGAGACAGCATTACATTCTTCGGAGTTTGCCTGCACTCGATTTTTTTTTTTTTTTTTTGCTTTTTGGGTCATACCCAGCGATGCTCAGGGGTCACTCTAGGCTCTGCACTCAGGAATTACCCCTGGAGGTGCTCAGGAGACCATATGGGATGCTGGGAATTGAAACCGGGTTGGCCACGTGCAAGGTAAATGCCCCACCCGCTGTACTATCACTCCAGCCCCTGGATTCGATTCTTAGAGAAATGTGCTCTGTATTCAGGAGTGACCCTTGGCCTCTGTGCTCAGGCATAATCCCTGATCATCCTCAGGAGACCATGTGTGGATCCAGGGATTCAAACCAGAGCCAGACTCTTTTATATGTCTGGTTCTACTTTTAGTATTTTTTTTTTTAAATAAATCTGACTCATGGACTCATGAATTCTATCCTGTGTGAGTCAAATGAACCAGGCTACCAGGTCAGGACCTACCAGCCATGGTCCTCAGTGATCACTTCCTGCATCTCCATGCGAAGGCAATTGGCAGAATAAAAGGAGGAAGGAGGGAGCCCCGCTGGTGCAGCTGAAGAGAGACTGAAGGCGGGGGACCCCAGTTACATGCCTTTAGTAACAGTGAATAGTTATTGTGTATTTACTATGTGCAAGGCACTGCTGGAAGCACTAGCCACTACTGACTCACTCATGTTAGGGTTGGGGCAATAGAAGAGACTGTCCAGGGCCACAGGACAAGCAGAGCTGGGATTTTATTCCAGCAGTTTGTCTCCAGGAATGTTGCCATTCCTTCTTTCCTAGGCCTAACATCTCTGGATTGAGTCACACCACAAGATAGAAACAGTCACATCTGGAAATGCACACACATTAGATATGTCATATCTTTGGGCAAACAGCTTCAAATAAAGTCAAACAGGATACTCATTTTAAGTAAATTTAATTGAAATACAATGCACATAGGATGGGGGGAGCAAAAAGATAGGACAGCGAGTAGCACGTGGCTGATACGTGTTCGGTCCCTAGCACCTCAGTACCTCATATGGTCCCCTGAGCCCACAAGTGATCCCGGAGTGCAGAGCCAGGACTAAACCCTGAGCACAGCCTGGTGTGCCGCCAAAACCAAAATAATAATGACAATAATATACACAGGGAAAATTAAACACATCGGGAATGACAGCTGGGGATATTTGCACAGGTTTGATACGTCCTGGGAACGAGAACCCAGATTAAGAAATGGCAGAACCAGCTCCCAGTCCCCAGGGTCATCCGGTCCCCAGAGACACCACTATGCTCACTGACCCTGTGAAGTTTTAGTCTGTTTCAGAATGTACTGGGCTTCCTTCATGAAACTTGCCCCTTTCTGGGGTGCAGCAGACCCCCACTCTGGTTCCTGTGCCCATGGAGTTATTTCCCACTTTTCTGTGAAGGGTTTCCAGTTTGGGGTGATTATAAATAGTGAAGAGAACATTCCAGTCCAGGCCCCTCAGTGTCCAGACATTTCCCTTGGGGTTTGAACTGCTGGCACAAAGGGCCGGAGTACGATCAGCTACGGTCACGGCTGTTTTCTCAGGGTCTCTAGAAAACACGGGCGGTCCAGTTGCTCCGCTTCCCTGCCAACCCACGGCGACGACCCACCGCGATGACCCACCCACTCCCATGGGCAGAGTGGGGCCTGCAGCTGGCGTCCAGTTAACAGACGGCGGGCGGGACGAACAGACCGGGGAGAGCCGGAGGGGGCAGACCCCAATCGCACGTGCGGCCGCCCACGCAGGCGGCACACGCACAGGCGCACACGCACAGGCACACACGCCGCACGACGCTCACGGCGGCCGGGGAGAGACGCACACCCCGGCCCCGAGCCGGCGGCGGGCCCCGCGCCCACGTGGCCTGCCGGCGGACGCGCGCCCCCAGTGGCCGCCCGCGCCTCGCGCTCTCGGCGGCGGGCAGGGGGCGCTGCGCGTCCGGCGCCCCGAGGGGGCGGGCCCGGGCGGGGCGGGGCCGGGAGGCTTCCAGGCCTGGGCTCGGGCCGCCCGCGCCTCCCGGCCGCTCCGGGACGGGCCGGGGAGGGGCGCGGCGGCAGGAAGCGGGGCGGGGACTCGCCGAGGCGTTGGGGAGCGCGGCGGGCGCGGCCGACTCCCCGAGGGACGCGGGCCGAGAGCGCGGGGGCCCGGCCTGGCGCCGAGCCTGAGCCCGCCGGACGGGAGGCGGCCCAGCCGCGGGCTCGGCCCCGGCGCCAGCCCCGCCAGCATGGCCGGCCGGACCGTGCGGGCCGAGACCCGGAGCCGGGCCAAGGATGACATCAAGAAGGTGATGGCGACCATCGAGAAGGTCCGGAGATGGTGAGCGGCCGCCCCGGGACCCGGGACCCGGCGGGGCCACTCCTCCTCCCAGTGCGTCGCTGCCCGTCGCCGGCGGGGGCCTGCAGGTGGTAGTGGCCCCCGCCGCGCCCCGCGGCTCGGGCCGCCGGCCACTTTCTCCTGGCGACCCCCTGGGGGCTACAAAGCGAGTTCCCGGGCTCCGTCCCCGCGGCCGCAGCCCGCCGCGCCCCGCCCCCTGCAGCTCGCCCGGCGCTCCCGGCAAGTTTGCCCCGGCCGCTCCGGGGGCGCTCCTCGCGGGGACCCCGGGGGGACGCTGACGGAGCCGCGGCCCCCCACGGGACGCCCTCGCTCCGGAGGCGCGCCCCGCACCCCGGTCCCCCTAGACTCCCTCCCTCCCCCAGCTGCACACCTGCCCTCCCGCCGGCCCCCGCGTCGCCCCGCTCCTGGGGGTGGGGTGGGGGTCATTCCTCAGGTTCTTTGACTTAATCCCCCTCGGCCAACAGGGAGAAGCGCTGGGTGACCGTGGGCGACACTTCCCTTCGGATCTTCAAGTGGGTGCCAGTGGTGGACCCCCAGGAGGAGGTGAGCACCCCTCCCCCCACGCCAGGGCAGCCTCAGGCAAGCCCCTCCCCGGGCTGCTCCCCTCCCCCACTCTGAGCCCTGGGCCCCCTGGGCACGTTCAGTGCCCTGCAACTCGCAACTCCCGCAGGCTCTTTTCCCGACTCCCACCCACCCCTCTTCCTGGGGTGGACGGCCTGTCACCTCCTCTTTATCAGCACAGCTGGTTCTGACCCGGCTCTCTAACTGCGTCTACCCCTCTAACCTCCAGGAACGCCGGCGGGCAGGTGGTGGGACCGAGAGATCCCGAGGCCGGGAGCGGAGGGGCAGGGGACCCAGTCCCCGCGGCGGTGGCCCCCTCATCCTGCTCGATCTCAATGGTAGGTCGGGAGGGAGACTGGGATTTGGGGCTGGCAGAGGGGGCTGCTTGGGTTGCAAGAGGAGAGTGGGGCCTAGGCCCAACCCTGTCGGTGTTTGCTCCCACAGATGAGAACAGTAACCAGAGTTTCCATTCTGAAGGCTCCTTGCAGAAGGGCACGGAGCCCAGCCCTGGGGGTACTCCCCAGCCCAGCCGTCCTGTATCACCAGCTGGACCACCAGAAGGGGTCCAGGAGGATGCCCAGCCCCCACAGCTGGGTCAGGAGAGAGGTAGGACTGGTTGCCCCCCCCCAAAGAAAAAGTACTCCTTCTGAGAATTGTTACCTGGAAGTGGAGGCCAGCAGCTAATCTCCTTACCTCTTACCTGTCTGCCTCCTGGGCCCTTCTGGACCTCTGCAGCTACTGCCACATAGGGCAGCTGTCCCTGCCTTGGCTGTCTCTCATCTGAGACCTTCATGTACATCTTACACTGATTTCTGAGCGCTGAAGCATCTCCCGCCCCTCAAGTCCGCTTTCTGAACTGATCGTGTGCTCGGTGTTATCCCACACTCAGGCCATGCTGGGTAGATTCTCGGTCCTCTGAGTTGAGGAACAGGGCCAAGGAGATAAGCCAGAGAGGGGCTGCGTGCATGCTGGTGGGGTGGGGTGTGGCCCCCAAACACACCAAAAAAGAGTTGCGGAATAAATAAAAGTGGTAATTCCAAGAGTGATAACAATTAAGCCCTAACCGCAGCTGGTACTTACTGAGTATTTCCTGTGTGCCCAGCGCTGGCCTGTACACTGTGGCATTTTCTCTCCATTAATCCCAGCTGCAGCCCTCTGAGGTGGGTAGGGCCTGTCAGGATCCCACTGACAGATGAGAAGCTAATGCACAGAGACATGAATGAGCCTCGTTCTGGGCGTGAGTCTGCAGCGCCTCTTTCTCCGACCTGGCCCTGTCTGCTCAGCCTCAGATGTGTCTCCTCTGCCTCCCAGCCTCTGGCTTCTCTCACCCACACCTGACTCCAGCCCCCCCAAGGTCTCTTTCCCCCAGGCCCCTCCACACGGCTGCCAGGCCACGTTTTCAAAAGTGCAGTCTGAGGGTCCCCTGACCCAATTTGGCCTTCAATGCTGCTGATGGTCTTAGTAGGGACTCTGTGCCCCCCTTTTTTTTGCCTTTTTTTGCAGGGGGGGTCACATCTGGCGATTCTCAGGGGTTACTTCTGGTTCTGCACACAGGAATTACTCCTGGCCGTGCTCATGGGACCATATGGGATGCTGGGAATCGAACGCGGATTGACCCCGTGCAAGGCAAACGCCCTACCTGATGTATTATCGCTCCGGCCTCATCTGTGCCCTTTTTGAACTGTGCCATTACCCTCATGGTTCCTTTCTAGGAGTACTGGGTCATGAACCATGAACCACTGCTAGGTCTAGGTTTACCATGCAATTTTGTACTTATTTACTAGTAGAAAATAATGCTGGCATTTATTGAGAACCTACTATATGCCAGACACTGCCCACGGCTTTATCTGTGTTACCTCATTTTATCTTCAGCAGAGCCTCATGTGGTAATGATGGATCCTTTATAGGTGAAGGAAACCAAGTCCCAGAGATATTAAGTCATTTGCCCCAAGATCAGGATTTCAACCCCAGGGGTCCAGCCCCAGAATCTTCCCTCTGCCGAAAATGGACAGCACCTCCATTTGTCTCACAGATCCCGTGCCCCCTTAACTGCCCTACGTGGCTGGCCGCTGGGTTCCCAGCGCCCTTCTTGGTGAGCCACCACTCCCCCCCCATGCCCACTGTGCCCACTTGCTCTTCAAGGGCTTGGGCATTGGTGTCTGTACCCTCCCCCCCCGCCCCCGTCCGTGGCACAGCTGCTCAGAGAATTATGAATTTGACTTTCCAGATCCCGGAGGTGTGACCGCCAGAGGCACCGATGAACCCCCAATGCTGACCAAGGAGGAGCCGGTTCCCAAATTGCTGGAGACTGAGGTGAGAGGGTTAGGGGGGGATTGGGGCACTGGGGGACTGTACTCCTGAAGGCCAAAGGGGAACTGTAGCCCCTGGCTATGGATCGAGGTTCAGCCGGGGCAGCGAGTGAGAGAGAGGCCTGCAGGCGGGGTCGGACTGCTTCACTGCCACTGAAGTGCTCCTGCGAGTGTGGGATTTTTATCCTGATCTTTGAGCATGACCATGAGAAAGCCCTCCCACAAAACTCTGACTTTCCCACAAGGCCTGCCTTGATGCGTTTCCCAAAAAATACCAATCCCCAACTTCTTGCCCCCCCCCCCCCCAAGCAGAGTGGTCGTCATTTCCGCATCCGGGCGCCCTGGGCCTGGGCTCGACTCCTGGGTCCGGGAGGGGAGTGGACGGGAGGCTTTGGAGAGGGCGGCGGCTGCAGGCCGCGCTCGGGGTCTGGGTGGCGCTCACTCCTGTCCGCCCTTCCTCTCCAGGCCCCCGAAGCTTACCCCGTCTTTGAGCCCGTGCCACCTGTCCCTGAGGCAGCCCAGGGTGACACAGAGGACTCGGAGGGCGCCCCCCCACTCAAGCGCATCTGCCCCAATGCCCCTGACCCCTGAGAAGCCGGCCTGCTGGTCCTGACGCCCCTGGGGCCCCTTTGGCTTTTTACAAATAAAGACCCTTTTGTAGTTTCGTGTCCTGTCATTTCCCCGTGGGGCTGGGGCGGGTCTCAGCCACTTTTGTCGCCTGCTCCATTTCTCAGATGGGCCTGCTGAGGCTCTGGGCAGGTTCATGAGGAAGACGCGGGACCCTGCTGCCCCAGCTGCCCCTCCCGCCCTGCTTCCCCGCAGCCCCCGGGGATCCCAGGCTGCCTCCCTGGCCTGCCCAGCTCTGCTCAGACTCAGGAGCACAGGCCCAGGGGCACTGTGAGGCCTGGGATGACCCCACCCTGCGCTGCCCGCAGGAGCTCCCTCCCCTGCTTTGCTTGGCCATTCCTTCATGGGAACCCACCCTGCTCTTTTGGTTGAGTTTTAGCTGTTTCCAGCTCAATCACCGCCTCCCGGAAGCCTTCCCTGATACCAGGCTTGGTCGGTTCCCCTGCTTTGGTCTCCCACACTTCCCTGTGCTTCTTTCCCTTTGCCTGGCGTTTATGCAGCTGTTTGGGATGGTTGGTTTGTGCGTCTCCTCTGTTGGGCTGTTGGGTTCCCAAGGGCCAAACTGGGCCCCAGCCTTTCTGGCACCACTCTGGGCCCGCTGTGGTCTCCGCCGCGACTAGCCAATGAATGAGTGGGCAGACAATCTTGGGCGGCTTCTCCTAGGAGGTGGCGCGTGAACTGGGTGCTGATGCGAATGTCAGTGTGGCGGGTCTGCGTCTGAGTCGTATGGTCTGAGTGGGTGGCGCTGGGTTTCTCAGCAGCATCGGCGGCTTCTGGAGACGCGTAGGAGTAGAAGGTACTTTCACTCTGTTCTGGCAAGACGAGAGAATCTGTATTGGCTGTACTGGGCCATTTTGGGGGGTGGGGAGGAGCTTCCAAGCCATGCTTAAGGGCCCTGAGACCACTTCCGGTGATATTTGGTACTCTGCTGCTGGGGCCACCCGGGAGCAGTGCAGTGCTGTGAATGGTACCCCAGGACCTCCACATGCTAGGCCTCTGCCCCGGTCCTCTATGCTCTCTCCAGCTGTTCTAAATTCTAACAGGAAGAGACTGAAGCACTGAAACTTCCCCAAGGACTATTTTTTTATTTTTATTTAATTTTAAGTTCCCCATGGCGTATTCAATATACCAAAAAACAGTAACAAGTCTCATAATGGAGACATTACTGATGCCCGCTCATGCAAATCGATAAACAACGGGAGAACAGTGCTACAGTACTATTTATTTATTTATTTTGCTTTTTGGGTCACACCGGCGATGCACAAGGGTTCCTCCTGGCTCTGCACTCAGGAATTACTTCTGGTGGTGCTCGGGGGACCATATGGTATGCTGGGAATCGAACCCGGGTCGACCCGGGTTCGGCAAGGCAAACACCTTACCCGCTGTGTTACCACTCCTGCCCCCTATTAATTTTTAAAGTAAGGGTATTGGGGTGCTAGAGAGATAGTACAGAGGGTAGGGTGCTTGCCTTGCACACGTCTGACCCAGGTTTGCTCCCCGGCACCCCATAGGATCCCCTGAATCAGGAGTCATCCCTGACCTCTGAACCCAGCCTTGTGTGGTCAAAAAAAACAAGTCACAGTATTGGGCTGCAGAGGTGACTCAAAACTGAAGCACATGCTACTCTGGTCAGTTCCCTGAGCACTGGGCTGGGAGTGCCCCCTGAAACCTCTGGGTATTGCCCAAGGACACAAAAAAAGGAAAAGTGTTTCTGATAGCAGCTGTGCTGGTGTGGGGGCATGCAGGGGAAGTGGTGTGTGGCATGTTCCTTCTGTTGCTGCTGTAGGAAGGGACCATACATTTAAGGGTCCTGGTGATAGAGATCCCTGCCTTACCGTGAAGGTGGGCAGACGTTTGAACTCTTTTCACTGGACCAAAGGCAGGTTGCCAAAGGGCTGGCCTTCCAGGGGCCGCAGCTGTCTCCCCGCCCCTCAGCTTCCAGCCGCCTGCATCCCTTGGCTTGTGGAACCTGCTCCATCTTCAGATCATGCAGCTTAGCAAACCACGTTCACTCTTTTTAATCTCCATATTCCTTCTCTGACTTTCCTGCCTCTTCTTTATTTGCTTTTGGTGTGGAGGCCACACCTGGCGGTGCTCAGGGCTAACTCCCGGCTCTGTGCTCAGGAATCGCTTCTGGTGGTGCTTGGGGTATGTGGCGCCAGGGATTGAACCAGGGTTGGTCATGCACAAGATCTGAGCCCCAGAGAGAGAGTCTCTGGCCCTCTCGCCTTCCTCTAAAGGGCCTCCCTCTAAAGGGTTGTCCAAGATTGTCTTCCCATCCCAAGATCTTTAATTTAGTCAGACCTGCACAGTCTTGTCTGTATGTAAGAACATTTCCAGGTTCTGGGGCTGAGGGTGTGGGTCGGAAAGTTACCTGCATAAACCCTTGGTGATCACCTCCCCCATTTTCTGGGTGCGCGTCATCTTTTCTCCCTCTGCACTCTCTCTGACTAGGTTCCTGGAGTGGGTTAGTAGTTTTCTCGCCCAGAATTGAGGTTTAATGCTCAGCATCTCCCTTTATTATTGATTGATTGATTGATTGATTGCTTTTTGGCAATGTTCAGGCGTTACTCCTGGCTCTGCACTCAGGAATTATTCCTGGTGGTGCTCAGGAGACCATATGGGATGCTGGGAATTGAACCCGGTCGGCCACATGCAAGGCAATCGCCCTACCTGCTGTGCTATCGCTTCAGCCCCCAGCATCTCCCTTTGTTGAGTGTGACTTTGAGCAAGTAACTTAACCTCTACTCCTCTGAGCCATAAAGTTGGGATAAAAATGCCGTCATGGCATGAGACCTGGATTTGATCCCTGACACCGCAAAACCCAAACGAACAAGCAAGAAACAAAAAACCCGTCAGCCTGGTGAGACGGTTGTGAAGATGAAGTACCTGGAGAGAGAGGTCTTGACATCTAGTAAGTGTTCAGTAAGACACCGTTGTTTTTCCCTGTCGGCCCATTGTACAGATGAGGGTATAGGGCTTGGCATCAGAGGCCCTTCTCTGTTAGTGACGGGGTGGAGCAGTAGATTCTTGGGTATCCTAGTCTCCCCCATCCCGTCCCCCTCCCGCTTTAGATCCCAGGCACTAACCCCCCAAAGCCCTCTCCGACCTGACTTAAAGCCACTCCCTCCGCTGGATTATTCCCTTGCTGTGCCTTCTCGGCTTTCCTAGTCCTTCCATACTCGCTTGTTGGAAATTCTTCCGCTATTCTGGGGCCTTTGCCTCCAAGGCTTCCTGCTGAATGCTCCTCCTTGTGCCCAATTTAATGGCCTGACTTTGCTCTCTCTGCCCAAGGTTGCCCTTGCAGTTCCACGTGTCCCTTGATGAAGGGTTCCAAGCCTCTTTCAAGCCATGCCCCTTCCCTGGAGGCTCACCCCCTACTTCAGACTCAGCCAGATGCCTGCGTGTCCCCCGACCTCTCGCCTCCTCCTCCTCCCCCCTGTCCCCATATCCCGTGCCTGAAAATGGCCCATGTTCCCGGGGGTGGCCAAGATAGGAGCACTTACAAGCCATGAGCCATCATGCCCGGGAGCGGGAATGGGGGGGCTCTGTCCCAAGAACCTTCTGGTTGCACCTTTTTGGGGGTCAAAACCCGGGCCTTATGGCCAGCCAGCCGTCTGCCGCTCACGCTACATCCCTGCCCTGCCCTGCTCCTCCTCCCTCCCTCCTTCCTTCCTTCCTCCCTCATAAATATTTCAAAATGTATGATTATTTGTATTTGTGGGGAGGCCTCTCAGCAGTGCACACGGGCCCTGATGGGGGGCACAAGTGGTGGGAAGTGGGTCTCCCCGGCGGGGCCTCTTAGGCAGACGCCTGATGAGACAGTTCAGGCTAGGAAAAGCTCTGTTTGGGGCCAGAGCGAGAGTAGAGCCAGGTAGAACACATGCCTTACCTGCCACTGTCCCAGGGATGATCCCATATGGTCCTCTGAGCCCACCAGGAGTGATTCCTGAGTGCAGAGCCAGGAGTAATCCCTGAGCAGTGCAGGTGTGGTCCAAAAATCTAAACAAAAGAAAAAAAACAGAGTCCTTGAAGGGGTCTTGAAGGGGTCTGAGCAGAGTGATGGCATCAAACTTAGATTTTCTCCCATGTTGTATCATAAAACATTCAATTAATGAATTAATATCATAACACATTTTAAATAGCAGAGTTGGAAGAATTATACTGATCACACCCTGTATAATGAGAATTCATAATAGTTTACTGTATTTTCCCTCTAGATATCCATCACCCACTTTTTTTTGTTTTGTTTTTCCTTTTTGGGTCACACCCGGCGATGCACAGGGGTTACTCCTGGCTCTGCACTCAGGAGTTACTCCTGGTGGTGCTCTGGGGACCATATGCGATGCTGGGAATCGAACCCGGGTCAGTCTCATGCAAGGCAAACGCCCTACCCACTGTGCTATCTCCCCAGCCCCCATCACCCACTTTTTAAACCATTTAACAATACATTCCTCACAGCGGTACCCCCCCTCACAAGTGCTCAGCATCATTAACTAGAGCCCATACGTATTTACAGGTGTGTTCACTTTCTTCTTGAATCCAGTGCCCAGACAGTGGAATGTGCAGGTGTTCTCGAGTTACGTCTCAGCAAAAGCATAGTCTGCATGACACAGCTTTTTTTTTTTAAAAGAAGGCTAATCTTTATATATTTATTTATTTTTGCTTTTTGGGTCACTCCTGGTGTTGCACAGGGGTTACTCCTGGCTCATGCACTCAGGAATTACTCCTGGCAGTACTTGGGGGACCATATGGAATGCTGGGAATCGAACCTGGGTCCACTGTGTGCAAGGCAAATGCCCTACCCGCTATGCTATCACTCCAGCCCTTGCATGACACAGCTTTTATTGAAATAATACATCATCACCCCCTTTCCCCAATTTCCCTTAATCCCTTCCCCGGCCCTTCCCCAGAGGCAACCCCCGTTATGATTTGGACTGTGATTATTGTCACTCGGTCCCCCTGTTCTAGAGCTCAGCGCAGGGAGTTGGAACAGAGCCTCCTCGTCCCCTTGCACTCGATGGGAGGCTCCCAGCCT